TCCACCCCCTCCCCCCTTTGGCCCCCTTCCTTCCTTCCTCCTTTCTCTTTCCTCCCGCCTTCTCTCCCTCCCTTTCTTTCCTTCCTTCTGCCTTCCTACTTTTTATCTTTTTTTCCTTCCTTTCCTCCGCTCCCTTCCTCCGTTGCTTCTTCCCCCTTCTCTTCCTTTCTTTCCCCTGCCTCTCTTCGCCTTTTTCCTCCTTCCTTTCTTCCTCCCTGTTTTTCCTTCCCTCCACCCCCTCCCCCCTTTGGCCCCCTTCCTTCCTTCCTCCTTTCTCTTTCCTCCCGCCTTCTCTCCCTCCCTTTCTTTCCTTCCTTCTGCCTTCCTACTTTTTATCTTTTTTTCCTTCCTTTCCTCCGCTCCCTTCCTCCGTTGCTTCTTCCCCCTTCTCTTCCTTTCTTTCCCCTGCCTCTCTTCGCCTTTTTCCTCCTTCCTTTCTTCCTCCCTGTTTTTCCTTCCCTCCACTCCCTTCCCCCTTTGACCCCCTTCCTTCCTTCCCTCCCTCCCTCCGCTTCTTTCACCTTCTCTTCCTCCTTTCCTTCCCTCTTTTTCCTCTTTTCCTTTCCTTCCCTCCCTTCTTCCTTTGACCCCTCCCTTCCCTTATTTCTTTCCCCTTCTCTTCCTTTCTTTCCCCTTCCTCTCTTCCTCTTTCCTTTCCTTCCTCCCTCCTTCCTATTTTTCCTTCCCTCTTCTGCCTCCCTCCTTTGACCCCCTTCCTTCCTTCCCTCCCTCCTTTCACCTTCTCTTCCTCCTTTCCTTCCCTCTTTTTCCTTCTTTACTTTCCTTCCCTCCCTTCTTCCTTTGACCCCTTCCTTCCCTTTCTTCTTTCCCCTTCTCTTCCCTTTTCCTCCTTCCTTCCTTTCCTTCCTTCTTCCCCATTCTCTTCCTTTCCTTTCCTCCCCCTTCCTTTCCCCCCCTTCCCTTCCATCCTTCCTTCCCCTTCTTCTTTCCCCTTCTCTTCCCTTTTCCTCCTTCCTTCCTTCCCTTACTTCTTTCCCCTTCTCTTCCTTTCCTTTCCTCCCCCTTCCTTTTTCCCCCTTCCCTTCCATCCTTCCTTCCTTCCCTTGCTCCTTTCCCCTTCTCTTCCTCCCTCCCTCCCTTTCCCCTCCCTCTCTTCCCTCCCCCTTCCTTTTTCCTCCTTCCCTCCCGCACTGCCTGGAGCCCCTGCTGCACTTATCATCAATTTGAGACCATCCTCAAGTGTCCAAATTCTGATCATGTGACCCCATTTGGGGGGGGGGGGCGAATGCTGCAATGGTTATGTGGGGGGAAAAATGGTCCTAAGTGACTTTTTTCCAAGGCTGCTGTCACTCCAAGGCCACTAAATGAATTGTTGTAAGTCGAGGTGTGGCAAGATATTCCCAGATGTTTTATTTATATGTTTCCCAATTCCCAGCAATTGTCCGGGATAGGATGGGGGGGGGATGTCTCCTGTTCGAGCAAGGGGTGTNGGTTCGGCTGAACCGGGAGGATTTCACCCCTGATTGGGGTTAATAACTGGGGGAGGACCGTTGGGCCTGGAGTCTGCCAGCTGGAAATCTATATCCGATCTCGTGGGAACGGGCTTCCTTTTAGCACGCGACGGAAACGAGAAATACCATCTAACCTTTGGTTGGCATCTTCCCATGGGTCCCAAAAGCCCAACCTGCTCACCTGCAGATACTGCATTCTGTCCTCCGGGACAGGCTTGGTGGCATAGAGCTGAGGGATCCCCCGCTCCAGGGCTGACAGGTCATAGCTGGCGATCTGGTCCACCGTGAGAACGTCGCCGGAGAGGTTGTCGGGATAGGGTTGCGAATACGTTGCTTCTGCGGGAATCGGCCGTTCCAAGCTGGTCTCTTCGGTCCCGGGTAGAGAAGGAGAGGACGGGAGATAAAAAAGTGAGAGGCAGTGTGTCTCTAGCACATCGCTCCAGTACCACATCGTCCCAGTTCCCACGACAAGAACGTTTCAAGTCCTGGAAGTACAATTCTTCCGCCAAGGCCATTATCGCCGGAGAAACTAGGGAAACTTTTCCACCCATTATGCAGCTGAGGGCTACGCGGTCTCTTATCTAACCATTCCGTTGGCCGTGTCTCTTCTCCCCGTCTCCAAAGCTGGGAGCCCCTGTCCTGAGGTGTAGCCGAGAGGGCACCGCCTGTCCTGGAGGGACACCGCCACTGGGCGCCGCATGCTTACCTTCCCCGCCATCATCGTTGGACATGATGGCCACGCACTTCTCCCAGACCGAGCGGACGTCAGCCCGGTAGCGGTCGCAGGCCCAAAGGAACAAGGGGAGGAGGAGGGACTGGGCCACAGAGCACCAGACGATACACAGGACCATCCAGTCGTAGGCAACGTCCGACTTCAGGCTGGCAAAACTCACCACCTGACGGGCAGAGAGAGGAAGACGTCTAATTGATTCTAATAAACGAGACAGGCTGAAATTATGAATCAATTATCACTTCTGATTTCCTTTCTCTTCCCCCCTTTCCTTCCTTCCCTTTCCTTTTCCCCTTCTATTTCCTTCCTTCCTTTACCCCTTCTCTCCCCTTCTCTATTTCCTTCCTTCTTTCCTCCTCCTCTCCCCTTCTCTCTNTGAGTCCCCTCAGGGAAAAGGGCGGCCTACAAATTCTAATAAAACTAAACTAAACTAAAACTAAACTACATATTCGGCTTAGGTGAGTAAGGCAGTCTGGGGATCAGAGTCTGGTGTCAGAAGTTGGAGGCCCCTTTTCTGCCATCTTTGCAGGGAGGCCATAAAGACTATTAGCCACCCCAAGGTGTAACGTGGAATTTGCAGGGAAGTAGAAATAGATTTTTGTGACACAGAGTATAAACCAGCCTAGAAGGAGTTTAATATTCCTGTATGTGAAAGGGATAACCTTGGTGTGATTGCAAGTGAGGGCAGTATTATCTGACAATCAAGCACTTTGGTCTGTGTGCAATCCTCCTGTGCAAGCCTCAGAGTTTCTTTTCGTTGGGGTTGTTAGTTAGAACCCTGACACCTCCATTCTAAAACATAGGGTTGTCCTGGTCACTGTGGCAGTATATAATACAAATATGGTCCCATCCTTAGAATCAGTGCTGGGTGCCCAGTCAAAAATAGTGGAATATGAAGGCGTCAATTTGAAATCCCTGAGCTTGGTAAAATGCTGAATGGCTCGTGGGTGTGTTGCTACCCCAATGAGGCAAGTTGACAAAATGTCCTTGACTGATTTTCTCCCTTTCAAACAAAATTCAGTTGTGTTTAACACTTCCCTTGCTAAATATTCCCAAACATTCCCCTTGTCAGGAAATAAGTTTGTTTCCATAAATTCATCAGACAGGTGGTTTGAAGGTATACAAAGCATTAAAAACACGTCCTCCCCATTTTCATCTTAAAACAGAGTCTTTAATGCCCACTTGACATTCTCTGTTTCTTTGTTGCTTCAGAGGTGAAACCTTTTCTGTAGGAGCTGGTTCTGTGCTGTGGTCGAAGACTACAGGTTTGACGTGTGTCCAATGTATCCAAGCATCCTTTTTGGCTACTTTCACTGCTGTTTGGGTCATTACGAGGATCTGGAAGGGCAATATTGGTGACTTTCAGACAAACAATTTGATCCAGATCCAGATCCAGTCTCCAGGCTAGAAGGGATGAAGGTTCTCTTAGAGTGACAATGTCTGGGTTAAGGCCTCTGTTTCCACAGTCTGTGAAGCTGAAGGCTGATGATAAGATCACCTCTCCCCACTTTCCAGATTAAGAGAGTGGGGGGTATAAACCTTTCAGAGTATCTGGAGGGTAACCAAAAATAATTCAAAAGGGGAAATACTCATATCCTCCTGGGGCCTGGTCCTAAGGTGGAACAGGGCTATGGGTAGCCCTGAGGCCATGGAAAGTGTGTCTCTTGGCATAGTTTGCCTAAGAGGATCTTAAATTCCCTATATTTCATTCCACCCCATCCACAGTTTGTTAGCAGCTTGACTTTTGAATTTTCTGAGGCACTTCTTACAGCTGAGTTTTAGCTGAAGGAAAAGAGGGGTGTGTGTGTGTGTGTGTGTGTGTGTGTGTGTGTGTGTGTGTGTGTGTGT